CGAGCGCTCGCTCTGCACCGCACATCGTAGCATGCCGACGCGGCCGTGCGGGCGCCTTGCTCAGCGCACTGTCAAGGCGATTTGGCACAGGATCGGTCTTCGAGTCACGCATGTCGACGCAAGCGCACCTTCCGCTGCTCCAACTCTCGAGGCAAGACCCATTCTAAACTTCATCTCTTCTACATCTCCTTTGCATCTCCTCGAACCCTTCTCGCCGCCCTTGCCCGCGTCCGCCGCACTTCAACGCTCTATCGGCCCTTTTCTCGATCTCATGTCACCTGGTCACGTGCGCGACCACATCTCGCGATCATGCTGCTCCCGATCGGCTCGGTTGCCCTGCGGTGTTGGGCGTACCAATGCCGGACTTCATCGTACCCTCCACTACGACGCGGCTCGTGACGCAACCGTGCCTCGAACTCTGCACCCTGCACTGCCCCTGCACCTCCGACATCGACCTTTCGCGTCAACAGGGCTCCTACGTCGGCATCCACTCTACAGGTTTCCGTGACTTCCTCCTCAAGCCCGAGCTCCTCCGAGCCATATCCGACCTCGGTTTCGAGCATCCTTCCGAAGGTAAGCGCAGTCCTCACCAATCCGTTGCCGACCCGCCTTGTCCTTCTCACTCAACCACACCCTCATCGACGCGTGAAACCCAACAGTCCAGCAGGAATGCATCCCGCAGTCGATCCTCGGCATGGACGTCGTTTGCCAGGCCAAGTCCGGTATGGGTAAGACGGCCGTGTTCGTGCTGGCCACGCTGCAGCAGATCGAGCCCGTGGACGGCGAGGTGTCGGTGCTGGTGCTCTGCCACACGCGCGAGCTGGCGTACCAGATTCGCAACGAGTACGCGCGATTCACCAAGTACATGCCCGACGTGCGCACGGGCGTCATCTACGGCGGCACGCCCGTCGCCGAGAACCAGGCGATGCTCAAGGACAAGACCAAGTGCCCGCACATCCTGGTGGGCACGCCCGGCCGCATGAACGCGCTGGTGCGCGACAAGAGCCTCAAGGTGTCGGGCGTCAAGCACTTTGTGATTGACGAGTGCGACAAGATCCTCGAGCAGGTCGACATGCGCCGCGACGTGCAGGACATCTTCCGTGCCACGCCGCACCACAAGCAGGTCATGATGTTCTCGGCCACGCTCGCAAAGGAGGTGCGCCCCACGTGCAAGAAGTTCATGCAGAACGTAAGTGCCCGCTAGCCCTGCATCGACTCGATGGAGTCTAGGCTAGGTATGACTGACGCGTCCCTTTTATACGTTGATGATGCAGCCTCTGGAGATCTATGTGGACGACGAGACGAAGCTGACGCTGCACGGACTGCAGCAGCACTACGTGCGTCTGGAGGAGTCGGCCAAGAACCGCAAGCTCAACGATCTGCTCGACTCGCTCGAGTTCAACCAGGTGATCATCTTTGTCAAGTCGATCTCGCGCGCCAACGAGCTGGACAAGCTGCTGCGCGAGTGCAACTTCCCCTCGATCTGCATCCACGGCGGCCTGGCGCAGGAGGAGCGCATCAAGCGCTACCAGCAGTTCAAGAACTTTGAGAAGCGCATCCTCGTCGCCACCGACATCTTTGGCCGTGGTATCGACGTGGAGCGTGTCAACGTCTCGATCTCGTACGACACGCCCACCGATGCCGACTCGTACCTCCACCGTGTGGGTAGGGCGGGTCGATTCGGCACCAAGGGTCTCGCCATCATGTTTGTCAGCTCCGACGAGGACGCCGAGGTGCTCAAGCAGATCCAGTCCAGGTTCGAGGTCGCCGTGCCCGAGCTGCCCGAGACCATCGAGGCGTCCACTTACATGTCGGCCTGAGCTTGCCCCTCTGGTCGACTCTGATGCGATCCATGCGACCGCCGACGCTGCTTGTTGAAATGTAAAATTCGTCCGGACATCTTTGCTACAGGAGTGACTGTGTGAACGACGACTTGAGTGTGAGCGAGACGTTGCTGCCAGATGGGGAAGATGGGGGCACGTTGGGGAGGTCGGGGAGGAAGAGGGCGTGCGGGAGTCGGAGATGTGGGGTGGTGGGGCTGCTCTTTTTTTTCGCGTGGACCCTGAAATGCGCTGGTTGTCTGGGCTCGTCATCTTATCGACAGGTTCACGCTTGGGGCATTGGACAGGATGTCGTTGACAGCAGAGCGCAACGAGCAGTTTAGCGAGAAGGAGTACTGGGATCAACGCTATGCCGACGAGACCGAGCAGGACTTTGACTGGTTCAAGAAGGTGAGCCCTCGATCGCCCGTCTTTGCTCGCGACCTTTTACTGACCCTTGTGCTGGACAGTATGATGATCTGAAGTAAGTCCGCTTGCACTTGCCTGATGGATTGAGTATTGAAACTGACTTCTTGTAGGGAGTTGTTTGACGAGGTGATGCCGGAGCGTTCGTCGCGCATCCTGATGCTGGGATGTGGCAACAGCACGCTTTCGCCCTCGATGCACACGGCTGGATACACATCGATAGTCAACATCGACTACTCGTCCACCCTCATCACGCGCATGTCCCAGCGATATCCCGACCAATCCTGGCTCGAAATGGACATCACCCAACTCGACCACGCCTGCAACCTATCCACACTCGGTGGGGAGGCCAGCTTTGATATCGCGCTGGATAAGGGTACAATGGACGCGCTAATGGCCGAAGGCAAAGGATCTTCCGTCTGGAATCCAAGCACCAAAGTCCTCACCGACATCAACCTCATGCTCAACGGTGTAGACAAGATCCTCAAAAAGGGCGGAAAGATGGTCTACATCACCTTTGGTCAACCTCACTTTCGTCAAAAGTACCTCGAAGCTATTCCGGGCTGGACCGTCGAGACACGAACGCTGGGAGATATGTTTCACTACTTTGTCTACATCGCCACCAAAAACTAATCCTACCTCGCACTACCATCGCGACCACTGCTGGAGCTCGAAATGTCGCCAGCACCAGTGCCGAGGGTGGTGGGTCGGTGCAGTCGCGCACGGCGCGGACTCGTCCAGTTGCGCTGCGCACGACTCTGACGCAGCTCATCCACCTTCTTGGCTGCAGCTCGGTGTGTGGCGGGCGAAAGCAGAGACAGTGGCGTGTGTGAGACTCCGGAAGATCCGCCTGAGAGCTGACGGCTGCTACCCCAACCCGTACCCCCGGCGCGCGCAGAGGCAATCACGGATGCAGGTGCAAGCAGACTCTGCGACCCAACACCAAGTGTGGTGCGCTTGCGACTGCGCACAGAGGCGTCGGGTCGGACCGACGTAGCGTTCGTCAGCATCGACGCATTGATCGTGGTCGTCAGCCCGCGGTGAACGGCCGGGACGGTGCTGAGGAACGACTCGACGTACGAATCGCCTGAGCTCGCCGACGCGCTGTCCTCGCTCACATCCGCCTCGACGCGACGGCGGACGCGCGCAGGGGAGAGTTCGGCCTCGGTGGCTTTGCGTTTACCCTTGTCCGGACGAGGAGCCTCGGGGCGCGGGCTGGAAAGCAGACCGCCAAACCCGCCGCTGAGGCGCGAGATGAGGCGCGAGGCACGCGTCATGACCCCCTCCTCCGCCTCCGCCTCCGCCTCGGTCGCGTCTGCATTGCCGGCCTCGTGGTCGGGAAGCGCAGGGTAGACCGGCTCGGACCGTTGCATCGCATCGCGCGCCGCACGGCGTGTCGCCTTCTTGAGCAGTCCCACCGCCGGCGTGCTATGTGCACCCATACGGTACGGCGTGCCAAACGACACACGCCCCTTGGCCGCCTGCACCCCACTGCGTGCCTCTACAGGCCCCTGCGCTGTCGTATCCACACTCCAGTCCAGGTCCTCGGTGGCCAGACTATCGTTTGCACCCGTCTCACCCAGCGCACGCGCGTCCTGGAGCGCATCCGGATAGCGCCTGTGGATCTTGCGCGCGTACTTGCGTCGAAGCGCCTCGAGCCGGTGCGTGAGCTTGGTGTGCGTCCACTCGCCGACCTGATTAGCGTGCGCGATGTGCATCTCCGCAAGGAAGAGCCAAGCCACCTCGCCCACGTCGGTGTCGAACAGCGCGTCCATGTAGCACCTCGCACGGAGCATCTTATCAGCCCCTGCATCAGCAGAGGTAGATGAGAGCAGGCGAGACGAGATCTTCTGCACGCCGAGCGCAAAGTACTTGTCGAGGCGCACCCAGTCCTGCGTGTCCCACACGCGCGCGTCGAAGCTGTCGGGCGCAGGGGCCGCGAGCGCCTGTGAGAGGCGCGCCTGCTTGGCCGTGCTGCGGCGTCGACGGTCCGGCGTCGACAGGCCAGGGAACGACACAGTGGCGCTGGCGATCGTCGAGTCGTTTGCACGCGAGCGCGGCGCCGCCGCCGGCGAGGGCGAAGCGGTGTCGTCGATGCGTGTGTTGGATGCAGCAGGCGTCGCACGGAAGCCGCCGGGCAGGAAAGGCGTGGCAGGCGATGCGGTCGGCAGTCGACGTGTAGAGACGACACTCGCGGCTCGCGAGCCGAGCAGGCTCTCGGTATCCGCGCTGCCCTGGCGTGCAAGAGCGAGCTCGGCATCCATGAGCAGAGTCGTCAGATCGGCCGCTGCACTCGTCGTGCCATCCGCGCGCTCGAGGCTGTGTTGCAGAGCAGAGGCGTCTTCCAGACGGCCGTGTGTGTCTGCGCGGCGAATGGCATCGACGACTCGGCGCATGCGCTCGCCCGTAGCGCTGCTCGCGCCCGTCGCGTCCATGTCGCCGGCCGAGATCCAGCCCTCGTCGACGTACTTGTGGAAGAGCTTGAGGATGGCCGTGGCGCGTGCGGCCGCACGGGGGTCGAGCGACGAAATCTCGACAATCGGCGTCGACGTGGCCTGGCCGAGCTTGAGCACGCGGCTGCGCGAGTGCGAGGCATCCGCCATGGTGCTGCCCGTTGCATCGGCCGACGTGACGGGCTGTCGAAGATGAAGCGTGTGGATGTGCGGCTCGTCGTCGATCATGCTGTGCTCGCTCGCACGACGCGTGCGGTCCCGAGAGTCGCGCACAACGCTCACCACGTAGCTATTATTTTCGGCCTCGGCATCGTCGTCGCGTGGCGCGATCAGATGGCTGGCCGATACGGAAGGAGAAGCCGAGGATGAAAGGATGACCACCGAGTCCAGCTGCTCGCTTTCGTCGTCGTCCACGCGCGAGTGCGTCGAAGAAGCATCGTCATTCTCGTCCTGCTCTTCCTCGTCCACGTCGCGCTCGGCTCCATGTTCACTCGCTTGCTCTTCTTCTGCGTCGTCATCATCGTCATCGTCCTCTTCGTCTACGCTGCTGTCGTCGAGGCTCGATGCATCATCGTCGCTCAACTCCGATTCGTTAGAGGCCGAAAGCTCGTCTTGCTCGCTGCCTTGCTCGTCGCCACTTTCGTCGTGCTCTTGGGCGTTGGTGCTCTCGAAGCTGCGGGCACCAAGGTCGCGTGAGAGGGATGAGTGGTGGGAGCTCTCATTCGCGTCATTTGCTTCCTCCATTTCGTCATCCTCCTCTTGGTCGTCGTCGGTGATGTCTTCCTCGGCGTCACTTGCACTCTCCGGGTCGGTGCTGAGGGAGAGACGACGAGCGCGAGCCATGCTGGGCTCTGGTGTGGAGTCCGACCTGGCTTGGTACTTGCGTCGGAACGACTCGTCATCTTGCTCTTGGACATGCGCGCTTTGAAGGGAAGCCGACGAGAGCTCCGACGAGAGCTCCGACG